AAGTCTTTGGAGTAGAACAGAAAAGACTGATGAAATGTCAAGAAATAATGGTGATACAACAAGGAATAAATGATTGATCAATGATCTGAATCAGAATAAGATTTAGAGTCAATAGTCAATTGGCTTGGGGCTCTGTCTGGCCAACAGTCTCGCCGATCGCCGAGGGCCGCCTGGAGGCGTGCTCACGCCTATGGGAGCATCTTGCTCTTGTATGCCAGGGGCGTTGTGCGGCTGGAGCGAACGTAGAGCACGCGGGGTGGCTTGAGCCTGAGGTTGTGGGACCACCGTCTCGACAGCAGGGCGTGGATCAGGTGCTAGTTCTTGCCTGGATTCGGGGACAGTGGGCATCGATGGACCGTGTGCTGGGGGGTCCGGAACGTCAGCTGGTTGTGGTAGATCCGGGCAAGGAGAGGGCAGCGAGGTCACGCTGGGCTTGGCATGCCCGGGGGTGTGAACATTCTGAGGCACCGGCTGTGGTGGTGAGGTGCCACCCGGGATCATTGTCAGTGGTGAGCGTGGGACCACTGGCATGTAGTTGCGGAGGAACTTTCTGTTCCGAAGAGTGACGCGGCCAGAGCCATCCACTCGAACGACGTACTGGTCAAATTGACGTACTTCGACTACAATGCCCGTCTTGTCCCATTTGGTCGGGTGGGTTCCCGTTTGGTTCTGTATGCGCACACAGTCACCGACGACGAGTGGAGGTAAGATGCGAGTGTGCTCAGAGAGGCGCTCAGCGGTGCGCATGTGCCGGTTCCTCAGTGCCTCCTCTCGCGACAGAAGGGTTTCACGCCAGGTACTGTGAGGCTGATACTTCCCTGGGTGGATGGGGATGAAGTCCCGTATTGGACGTCCAAAGATACACATCGCTGGGGATAGGTGGGTGTCACGATCAGGAGTGTTCCTGTATTGCAGCATTGCGCGCTGGAACTTGTCAGTGTTTAAAGATCCTTGTGCACCCGTGTTGTCAGTGATCAACCGTTTCACTGTCTTTACTCCAACTTCAGCGCGACAATTAGAGTGGGGAAAGGCGACTGAAGAGACCCTGTGGTGGACACCCCAGTTGCGAAGGAAGTTTGAGGTTGCCAGGGACGTGAACTCTGGGCCTCCGTCCGATGTCAGTTCATCACTGATGCCATACGTGACGAAGATGCGACGCAACGCGGCAACGAGGCCGGCAGACCCATGGGAGGCTTCTTCAACGATAGGCCAGTTACTGTACCTGTCGACTGCAACTAGGTAGCTGTGGCCTCGATGATGAAAATAATCCGCCGCAATGCATTGGAACGGGTATGCTGGTGCTATTGGAGGGGTGGGAGGTGCACTCGGCAAATGTCGTGAGGAACTCCCGGAATTGATGGTATGGGCGAAGATCAGGGGACAGAGAAGCCCTGTCTTCAGGGAACCCATCCTCAATAGTGTTACTCAAAGCAGTCATTGTAGAGTCGCTGGATGTTGCAAGTCGAATCTCGTCCCAAGTCACTGACTTGATCACCTCAGTTGGAGCGAGGTCAGGTTTGGAGCATACCTGGTTGGTGTCATCCAGTTCCTGGGTGCGGATGGCAGAAAGAAAGTCGTGTGGCAGTTCAAGTGTCAAGGGAGGGTCATCAAGGAGCAGAATGGGAGCGGCATCATCAGGGAGTCTGAGAGTGTTAGGGCTGCCCACTGGTCTGCGGGAGACGGCATCTGCTGCAGCATGGCGTAGACCGGGGATGTGGACGATGCGGAAGCGATATCTAAGGGACTTCTCCTTGAGGTTCCTGAGGCGGGGATTGGGGATATCGTCGAGACACCGGTCCCCAAACGTCTTCAAAAGAGGTTTGTGGTCCACCGCCACGATCAGGTCGGAACAACCCAAGGTGAAATGGCGTGCTTTGTCTAGTGCATCAACCACAGCCAGGGCTTCACCTTCTATGGGCGCATAGCGGGACTCGGCTCCTGATGTGAATCGACTACCGACCAGGGTGATCTTCCAGCCAGTTTTGCAGCAAAATGGCTTTTCCGAAAGACATGTACAATGTTTCTGGAAGAGCCAGAAGCCTATGCCATCCTTGCTCCAGTCGGTGGCTAGGCAAGTTGGTTTCTTCTTGTCAAATATTTCAACCCCTTGGTGGATTTCGTTGATGATGGCCTCCTTTGACCATTCAAACAGACGGTCGAGCTCCTCTGTCCATTCGAGACGTTTCCCCGGCTTCAGGGCTTCCCGGAATGGGAGCATGCGTTCGGCGGAAGCGAAGGCATAGGATACCTGATTGATGAGACCGAACCAGCTCCTGACGTCGGTGATGTTCCGAGGTGTGGGGAAATGTCGAATGGCCTCCAGGTAGCGGGCACATGGGCGCACGGTGGAGGGAGTTATTTCGAAACCTGCAAACTCAGCCGTAGTTTTGGCGAATTGAAACTTGGATGGGTTGAGTATGATGCCATTGGTGCCACATAGGTCAAGCCACTTGATGGTCTGAAAAAAGGCTTCCTCAATAGAGTTTGACCACATAAGGGTGTCGTCAATGCATTTGGTTTTGTGGGGGAAGTCGGCGACAATCTCATCGAAGCGGCGGCTGTATCCATCCCCGGATGATATGTAGCCTTGGGGGGCCACGAGATAGCGATAACGACCCCATGGGGTGATAAACGTCGTCAAATGTCTATCCTCTTCAGCAAGAGCGATGCTATGGTAGCCATTCCACGCGTCAAAAACCGATTTCCTCGTGTGGGGTGGCACTTTGCGGGCCTGGTGGAAGGGAGACTGAGTGTGGTGTGTCTCCCGCGTTGCATGTCGGTTAAGCGGTTGGAGGTCAACCGTGCGCCTTGGTTTACCCGACTTCTTCGGACAGATCACCATCTTGTGGCACCAGGTGACTGGGGTGCCGACGGGGACAGGCTCGATGACCCCCAGTCGCACATCTTGATCTAGGCCGGCTTTGACCTCGTCTTGCCAATGGACTGGGACAGGAATGGGGGTGTGGTGGGCCACGGGACGGGCGTCAGGGTCCACCATGAGGTGGATGGGAGGGCCAGACATCATCGGTAGAGGTTGATGTTCGCACACGTTGAAGGTACTGGACCTGTAGTGATCTAGGAGCCACTGCTCCAAGCCCTCTCTGTTCTCTTCTGTGGCAGGAAGCGGGAGGGAGGTTGGTGGTGGCGGAGGTGGTTGGCGGTGTGAGCACCCGCAAGCCGGCTTGTCCTTCGAATTGATTGCTGCACTGGTGGCGCCAATGGTCGGAAAGCTAGGAGGGATTATTCCCAAAGCCACACAGGCTTGCTTGCTTAGGAACACCCGACCAGTGGATGTGGTGAAGTACACCATCTGGTGAGTCACCAGCTTGGTGTTGGACGGAGATGTACCAGAAATACGAAGGGGAAGGGCTCCGATGATGTCAATGGCCCCACGATTCGCAGCTGTCATCTTCATTTTGACAGGGAGGAGATGGCGGCGAGTGAGGCTCATCCTAGTCAAGAGTGCTACGCCCGCCAGGCACGACTGGCACCCAGTGTCTGCCATAGCTTGGTACTTGACGGGAGAGGTGCTGCCTCTCAGAGATGGCGGGAAGCCGAGAGATTGGGCATCTGAAGGCACTGCCTGGACGGTGACATTCACAAAAGGCTGAGGGTCGGATGCTCGCTTCTCCCATGCCCTGCAAAACTCGTTGTATACATGATGGTCTAGGGATACAGAGTGCGCATTAGACACTGGTGTGGCGGAATCTGCACCGCATAGACTGTCAAAGGCGGCAGCAGAGTCATCCAGGGCATTGGAGGGGTTGCGATTCCGTGACGACTGTCGGCAGAGGTTGGCGAAATGATTGGATAGGCCACACCTGGTGCATCTTTTACCAAATGCCGGACACTTCTTCATACGTTCCTGTCTACCATTCCCATTATGTCTTCATAGATAAATGTCAACACTCTTTGTGACTTGACGTAGACTTTTAATAATCAAGCACAATGAAGACATACGTCAGACGATGCATGACTGGGACAGAAACGGAACAGAAATAAAGCAGATGAATACGATTGACAAATAAGGGAAATAATAATAATGGACACAAGGAACAGATACGAATGATGGCACATACATGTGGTCTTGTAGCTACCGAATGATATTCCTCTAGACATTGATTCACCAGTTTAAAAAGATATTTGAGGATACGTTGCGCCACGAATTTTTGACCGCGCTATAGAATCTAGATCAATGCAAGCGCGAGCTTAAAAGTTAAAAGGAGCGGCAACAGGCACCCTCTTTCAAACTTGCCCCACAAAGAGCTGGCAGACTGCAGGTGGCTTTAAGCCCGGATTGGCGTTGTCGGCTTTATCGGAATCCAAACTACATTCTTATTACGCCGAAAAACTGGGAAGGGCGTCTCGCTGTCAAGAGAGGCAGCAGACAGAGTCAGGAGCCCAGATGAGGGGGCAAAAAGTGTAGACGAAAGCAGACGTCAATAAAACATGATTATAAGAGAGCAAAAATTTCTTTAGAAAAGACTTTTTTTTTTGCGCCACTGTCAGGTTTCGAACCCGGGATCTGTTGAATGAGAGGCGAACCCCGTAACGTGGTTCCTCTTTGCAGTTCCATGAAAGAAAACCTGGGCGCCATAAAATAAAATTAATGTATCAAATAATCGTGAACATTTGACTGGTAGAAGGCTACTTCACATGGTCAGATATTCGAGTCAAATTTTATAACGTACACCCAAAGGGGTGTAATTACGGTTATTGGATAGCCTGCGGCAAAGTTCTAATTTGATACATTGTGCGCACTATCGCTGTCATTATTCGAACCGATCCGATCCGATCTGACCATGGAGAAACCTCCCAAATCAGTTAGACAAAAAAAAAAAAGAATGAAATAGAATTTAAAATATTAAAAAATGCAGGTGATCTAAAGAAATTAATGGTAAAATGTAAATACACGTAGGCCTACAATGCCGAGTCATTACAGATTACAGGTTTAATTCTCTATTTTCTGCCGAATGAGTACTGAGTGCAGAGCTGCTGAGCATTCTGTCTGTTGGGTCTAACTTCCGTTTATGGTTCGTCATAATAGCCGTTCATCAGCTTGAAAATTGCAATTCCAGTATTTGTGCTGCTGGATGCTTCGCTTCAAGTTCACTTGCAGCCTTGATAGTGTTGACAAGGCTTTTGAGCTTTGGTATTTAGGTCTAGCTTTGGTGATCAGCCTGCAAGGTATGATTGGCAACCTCCGGTTTTAGCCTAGACTCCAGTCACCCAGAATTTAAATTTAAGTCAAAGACAAGTGACAAAAGTGCTGGGATATCGATCGGCAGTACAGGAATTTAGGAGAAGGCTAGAATCTTAACCCTCATCCTGCGGGAGCCGGGTTTATGTAGCCCGATAAGCCTATTTCGGCACCTCGCCTGCGTTCTGGTCCCGAGTCAGTATAGCTCCTGGCTCAGCGCACGCGCAGGGCGCATCCTCTTACGACTACGTGTCATTCGGGTCCCGAGTCGGATCCCCATTCACGCAGGTCAAGTGTGTGTGCGTCAGTCTGCTTGAGTTTGTGTGCGTTTGTGGCCTTCTAGAACCACCTGCGTTGGTTCGTAATCGAGGCATACGTCTCATTCAAAACATGCCAAGTTGATAGATCTAGCTCTAGATGTTCATCCAATGAAATTATAGAAGAAATTGACCCACTTAGACATGAGGAGCTCGAAAGGATAGTCAGGAAACAAGACTTCCATTTTTTCTATACAAAATATTTCAAATGAGCTTGATTTTGTATGAAATGATACTACCTGATAAAAAATGAGCCTGTTTGATAGTTTTGAATACCCTTGTGCAGGTACAAAGAACAATTTGAGTGTAAAACATTCGGAAATTGACCTAAATTATCCCTTTTCGAACCTCAGGTCATTCATAACAACAAGAGCGTCCAGAAAGGTTATTCAAATGGGCGTAACTACTCGTAATGTCTTATCAGCTTGTGAGAGGGGGTTATTCATGTGTTTGTAACACTTTATAAATAGAATGCTATGAAGGATAGAGCGTTATTTTCATCATCAGTTAACACACTCCCGCGGTATTCATGGCGAAAACACACGTTTCCCGGCGCGCGCGCTGTACACCAACAGTACACACTGAGTGACCCCGGCGGCCTGCCCGGTGAGTCCGACGTAATCGGTTGCTGATAAGATACGCATCTGGGCACAGACGCAGGATAAGAGTTAAGTAGAATCTAGAAATCTAGATTATATAGATCTAAATAATGCCATCATTCGGTCAAAATTTAGACAAAAATAGGAATGTCAACATATCTCCTATCTACCTTGCATGAGAGGTAAACCGTGGCCGAAAGGCCACCTCTATTCTCACCCCGGGTGAGAATAGCGCAGGCAAGTCTTTGGCTATTCTTGGCGATTGTTAAGATTCCCGCGTTTAATTCCGATGGGCGTTTTTCATACCCTCAGGCATATTTCGCTTTGGTCCCTAACCCTAACCCTAACCCTAACCTAGGGTTAGGTAGCAATGCCAATCGCCCGCTGCGCCTTGTGCCGGAAATCGGCCTCCGCGCGAGGGGTAGTTTTTGGGCCGCTCGGAATCAGAAGTGACTCTCTTCTAAGTTTAGTTACGGGAAAACTCCTGGACGAAAATAAATGAAACTCGGCAACCAACCAGAGGAAAGGTTAAACTAACGACATGCCAGCGTACAATCCCGAACGATTACTAGAACCGGAGATATTGCCGTGTTTGTGAGAATTTCCTCTGCGGTTCGAAAACTAAGCGGAGCTGCGGGTTGATCGCCGACCACACAAGCGCCCCACATGTCTTCTTTATTGCTGTAAAATTTCAGATCTCTGCGTTTAGTAGATTTTCCGTACCAACTTAAAATTACCACCCACCCATTGATAAAACACTAGATCTAGAAACTTAATCGCGCATTCCAAACGCGAGGTGCCGGCATGCAAGAGGCGCGTGATCGCTAGGCGGCATGTGATTGGCTGCCTATAACCAAATGGGTCACCGATGACTACATCGCGGGTTTTCCCGATAGCACTTTACTGAGTTTTAGAAGGGGTGATCGCGTCGCGGTAAAAACGATGTCACGCAATTCAACAAATTTCACGCAAATATCAGTCTTTAAGATCCAAAGTAATGAAGACATCGAAAAAGTGATAGCAGAACTAGATTTGGCTCTAAAAATCACATGGAGATGCCAAGTTTCATTCATATGCTCCAAATTCATTACTTACTTATGAACAGTTTTTCCTCAAAATACATCAAAACATGTCCCACATTTTGGCGATTTTTTCCTATATGAAGGTCCTCCAACATTTTGGAAACAAAAATCCCAATAACTTTTTTATTTATCAATGGATTTTTAAAATTTAAAAACCACAGTTCTTAGAATTTACTCTAGTTTCATTTAAGCCCATTTTTAAGCAATTTGGATGAAAATTTAATTTTTCATTGTCATTGCTGCTAGGTTAGGGACCAAAGCGAAATCGAATTGACTATTCGGACTCGAGTCCGAATATTAAAAAATGTTAGTCCAGCATGACATCACGTTCCGACTTCCGACTTCCTGTGACTCCTGAATCCGGCTTCCTGTCCTGCCTCACTCGTGACTCGCCTCAGGCTGGGTAGAGACCGGGATCACTTCGGGCAAAAAGGCGTTTTTTGCAGGAGCCGAGTTTTAATCTTATGATGAATTTGAGGCCGGCCTGAAAAGTTATTTTCGCTTCTAATAAATGTTTATTTGTCAAGAGGTCATCAGAAGCAATTAAAGATGGCTCGTTAGCGTGTGTCGGGGTTGGATGGGCGGCCTGCACACGTGTGGCTGTGTCGGGGTGGGGGGTGGGGCACTATCGGTCCGGGCATTGAACGTCACATACGCGTCAGTCTTTTTCCCCCCGGCAACTGATCATTATTACAATAATAAGCTAGTCTTGACGTAGATCTACGTAATGAATTGTGCGCTGGTCTATGGAATCAAAAGTTGCCGTATGCTCAGCTCCACACAGCAACACAACTTTTTCTTGGTAAACAATCGATATGACACAGGCTTGTGTATTTGAACGAATCGGGTCTTTTTTTTTTTTACACAGCTGATAATATGCAGGTGCCAGGTGGTCTGCTAATCTTCAAATTTACCTTTTTCTACAACAAAGAAAGTGGGAAACATGGGGTAGCAATGACAATGAAAAATTAAATTTTCATCCAAATTGCTTAAAAATGGACTTAAAATGAAAATAGAGTAAATTCTAAGAACTATGGTTTTTAAAATGTAAAAATCCATTGATAAATAAAAAAGTTATTTGGATTTTTGTTTGCAAAATGTTGGAGGACCTTCATTAGGAAAAAATCGCCAAAATGTGGGACATGTTTTGATGTATTTTGAGGAAAAACTGTTCATAAGTCAGTAATGAATTGGAGCATATGAATGAAACTTGGCATCTCCATGTGATTTTTAGTGCCGAATCTAGTTCTGCTATCACTTTTTCGATGTCTTCATTACTTTGGATCTTAAAGACTGATATTTGCGTGAAATTTGTTGAATTGCGTGACATCGTTTTTACCGCGACGCGATCACCCCTTCTAAAACTCAGTAAAGCGCTATCGGGAAAACCTGCGATGTAGTCATCGGTGACCCATTTGATTATAGGCAGCCAATCACATGCCGCCTAGCGATCACGCGCCTCTTGCATGCCGGCACCTCGCGTTTGGAATGCGCGATCAAGTTTCTAGATCTAGGGTTTTATCAATGGATGGGTGGTAATTTTAAGTTGGTACGGAAAATCTACTAAACGCAGAGATCTGAAATTTTACAGCAATAAAGAAGACTTGTGGGGCGCTTGTGTGGTCGGCGATCAACCCGCAGCTCCGCTTAGTTTTCGAACCGCAGAGGAAATTCGCACAAACACGGCAATATCTCCGGTTCTAGTAATCGTTCGGGATTGTACGCTGGCATGTCGTTAGTTTAACCTTTCCTCTGGCTGGTTGCCGAGTTTCATTTATTTTCGTCCAGGAGTTTTCCCGTAACTAAACTTAGAAGAGAGTCACTTCTGATTCTGAGCGGCCCAAAAACTACCCCTCGCGCGGAGGTCGATTTCCGGCACAAGGCGCAGCGGGCGATTGGCATTGCGTATCAATGAGGCGGCGGGCATCGGATCGGCAGAAAAGGTGTGGGGGAAACTAAAAAATGTAGGAAAATTGGAAGCACTGAACGTTAAATCTATAGAACGAAGACACTTCCTTTTTTCCGGACCCGAGTCCGAATAACATTTTTTCATATTCGGACTCGAGTCCGAATAAAGAGTAATGTTATTCGGACTCGGGTCCAAATAACGACGGCCAAGCGAAATATGCCTGGCCTGAGGGTATGAAAAACGCACATCGGAATTAAACGCGGGAATCTTAACAATCGCCCTATTCTCACCCGGTGGGCGTTCACCACCTAGATCTAGGCCAACCAGTGTTGCGTTCACCCTGAACCACAGAATTCTACACTGTGATAATAATTGTAGAATTCTGAGCCATGAACAAACGTTCCATTACTACTTAACTACTACTGTTAGACTTAGCATAAAAGTGTGCAATTTTGGGTGATCTTATACTTTAGCACGTTAAATTCCCAAAGCCAAAGTCTACTAATCCCCGACTCAGATCTTCCAAACTTTGAACTGGGCCTTAAAATGCGCAAACTACCGTAATTTTCTGATGGACAGATGGTATAACAATGGTTTTTGGTCTTCTATTATGATTTTGGAAGCCATTGATGAGTATAAATCTAGATCTAGATTTGAAAGAGGTCGCTCGTTACGGAAGTCCTCAATTGAAGAATTTAACGTGCTAAAGTATAAGATCACCCAATTTTGTCTCAGTGGGCAGTGGAGAGAGAAAGAGAGATGGAGGAGTAGCGCGAGAACCTCCGGGCAGAACAAAATGGCGACCTGCGTAGTTCGGCTCAATTCGAAAAGCTAATTTATAGCCGTAGCATCTTTGTAGACGACCAAATTAATTTACTTTTGTGTTTTAACATCATTTTTAAACTTTGTTTTGGTCAATTTGATCGTCCACACCGATAGACAGTGTTCTGAAAGAGACAGAGAGAAAGAAGAGGGGAGGAGTAGATCATGCGAGAACTTCCGGGCAAAACAAAATGGCGACCTGCGTAGTTCGGCTCGATTCGAAAAATGAAATAGCCATAGCACCTTTGTAGACGATCA